GAATCACATGAATCCAAATGACGCCCAAAAGGAAGAATATGACGGACAGAGCGAAGTAGAGCTGAGGCAACGGTATCTCTCCGGCGGACAAATAGTTGCCCAAATTGTCTTCACTTATACTAATGTTGAGGTTAAATGATGTGGTCTTCCGGAAGCCACCCCTCGAACCATAATTGGGACAATTGTGAAAGAATAGACTATAGAGACCGGCGTGCGCTTCGTCTGCTATCACAGCCTGAATCTAAAAGTATATTTCATATTAATGTTAAAATTCATTCTGTTTTTTATAATTAAATTACTTTAAAACTAAATTCCGGTCTGTCTTTATTTCCACTTCGAATGAGTTTCACTGATTTAATGGCACACGACTTGTTCTCCTCTTCAGCACTCTTTACTGACTCTTTAGCGTCAGAGTTCTCGTCCGGATTCACGTCAGGTTTGGCTTCGTTTGAATTGGGTATCAATTCCTTCGAGATCTCAATCGGTTTATCATTGTTTGCAATCACTTTGGGTTCGTTTGCTTTCCTTTCGATAGTATCACTCAATTTACTAACAATTGAGTTGGAATTCTCTTTGGTTTCAGATTTTGTCTCTTTATTCACATCACTCTTAATTTCAACATTAGTTTCGGACACTTTGCTGCTATCGATCGGTTCTTTCTTGTTGTGGTCAACACTGACTGCACTTTGCTTGTCATCGGGCTGTGGCTTATAATCGGTGTCTTTACTATCAGTGTGAATGGGAACCGCTTTAGCGCCCGATTCAACAGCATTTGAAATATTATCACTTCGTTTAGGTCTCGAAGGGATTCCGTCGTAAAACCGCAATTTCGACAACAATTTATTGCATTTAAAGTTAACTCTAATTAATATAAAATGTAAACACAATTAATATTACATTGAATTCAAATGAGAGAATTACACAAAACATACACATTATTCTTAAAGTCAAAAACCATTGAAACTAAACCAATGTTCTCGTCATTATTGATGGTCACCACGTCGTCCATAAGGAGACACCGGTCTTCGTGTCCCTCCTATTGGACAACAAATCAATGGTAAGTATAGACACAAAAGAGGAATATCAAGAAATGTAAAGATATTTACGAGATATGGTGTGAGACTATCGCTCATTGTTTTGGCTAAAGTGAAACCAAACTATACATCAAAACAAATCAATTGTATTATCATTAAAACACATCATTATCGATGGGAACAAGAGCTGATCCAATGGATGGATACGTACAACAGAGTCGTCCTTATGGGGGAAATCACTGAATTGGTTGACTTCGATGGAGAGATGGCCGCCGAAGAAGTAGCCAAATGTGCTGATTGTGATGTATTTGCGGTCATCATTCTGTGTGATGTGTCCATCAAATCAGATAATCAACTCGTGAGTAAACAAACAAAATATGTAATCAATGGTAACGTGTCTTACAGTTAGGACCAAATGATGTTTGCGGGCGTCGATCGACACAATGCTATTCAATATAATAATTGCGATAAATATAACAAATGTCTTCACATGTGATGAGCGATGGATTGATGGCTGGAAGCGATGGCATGAAGACAACGACGACACCCAATGAGCTGTCATTTTGATTGTGGGACCAAATGAGTGATAAACACAATCTCTTGGCGTAAATCGCGATTCAATTGATTAAATAATTTGCGATAATTTTCGGCGAAAATCCAAAACAAATGAAACGATCGATAAATGAAATGACTTTTTTCGGAGACGACTATCGATTTGTGGCACTATTTATGAGAGCATTGAATGCCATAACAATCACAACAATAATAATTGAAATGTAGTTTTAATCGTGAATTAAATGTAAATGTAATCAACATATGAAGAGATGATTAACACATTTTCACAAATCATCGCATCTATCAATGCATACGAGAAAAGTCGTGTGTTTTTTGGCATTTAATTCACACAACAAAACAATACTTCAC